CCCATGGGCCGGGCCGTACCACGCCGCGAGGGGGGGGGGAAGCGTTTAGCGGCGCTGGGGCGGCCCCCTGCAGCTCCCCGGCCCCGGCACCCCGCCCGCCCTCCGTCCTCACCTCCGAGTCCACTCGAAAATGGCGCCGAAACCGAAAAAACTTCGCCAATTTCATTGTAGGCGTCTGCAAGGGCTGCTGGGAGCGGGAGGGGGGCGGGGAGGGGCGGGGCTGAGGGTGCGACCCGCCGTGTTGGGGGGTGGGGGGGGGAGAGCGGCTGCGCGTTGGTTCGGGGAGCGCCGGGACTGCGCCCCGCTGTTGGGCCTTCGGGGGGCGGGGGGGGGGGGAAAGTATCGCTGACAAAGCGGCTCCGTGCTCCTCACGGGTCCTTCCAGCTCGGGCCGTTCTCTGATCCCACCGGCCGGAGCCGCCCGCAATCACAGCCCCGCACCGCGCGCACCCACCGCCGCGATGCTCGGCGCCATCGCCCTCCTTTACCCCATCGGACGTGGGTTTTTCTAGGGAGAAAACGGTTATTTGCACTTAAGCGGTCGTTTCAAAGCTGTTGTTTGTTTGTTTGTTTGATTTGTTTGTGAGCCTCCTGCAAAATCGCCGACCCTTCGCTCCTCCCCTCCGAGTTTCAGCTGCCCGCTCTGTTTGCTGGAGGCACAAAGCGCTGCTCTGCCCCGCGGTTTTCAGCCACGAAGGCAGATTTCGGCAGAAAACCGCCGCCCCGAAAACATCGCAGCCGAAATCGGGCTTTGGGGGAGCGAGAAAACGCAGCACGGGCTGCACTGCCCCGCTGTGAACCATCCTCGGACGTGGGGGTTCCGAGCGCCCATCGGGAGCATCGCACGGTCGGGGCACCAACGTGCCCGCAATCATGAGCAAGTCGGCGTGTGCCGTTGGCAGAGGATGGACTGAACCGTAGAATCATTAGGGCTGGAAAAGGCCTCTCTGATCCCCAACCCCACCGTGCCCACAAACGCGTCCCTCAGTGCCGCATCTCCACGGTTCAACACCTCCAGGGTCGGTTCCTCCAGCCCCTCCCTGGGAGCGGGACCACCCAGGGTGTGCTTAATTAGTGCCTCTCCTAAATGAGAGTGGGAGTGGGTGGGTGCGGTAATGGGGCTGTTTGCAGGTGGAGGGGAATGGATGAGCTGGGGATGCAGGAGCGCCTGGGTGCGGCAGATGGGGGGCAATGGAATGGCCGCCCAGAGCTGTGCGTTGTGTTGGTCTGGAGATGTAATGCAGCCACTGATGGTCCCTGACCACGGCTGCTGGGAGGGGATCCGCATTTCTGCCCTCCTTGCAGGGGAGAAATGCAGTTTTCTTTTAGTGAAAGAGAAGTTTTCTCCTCTCGGGGAAAATACCCAACTGGGAAGAGAGTGAAGGCAAAGCCCACATGAGTTTCGTGATGTCAGTGAGTGATAACACGCATTGAGAAATCCATGAGTTTCACTGAAACTGGTCCCGTTCCCACCCCGAATCCCCCCCCCGCCCCCACTCAGTGCTTTGCAGAAGGGCTGGGGGGAGCTGCAGCAGCGCTGAGTGGGGAGGTTTGGGAGAACAGTTTCACTGTCGGATTAGCGCAGTAACGACATTTGTTCCTTTCTCAAAGCCATCGCCGCAGCCCTGCTGGGCTCACCTGCAGCTCGCAGGGCGCTGCTCTGGGATCCGTGGGCACTGTGCTGCCTTTTGCCGTCCTCCCCCCAGGGAGGTGCTGCCCTCCCAGCCCCACTGCTGCACTTTCACTCCCCCAGCGCTGCGGTTTCTGGTGCTGCAGGAAAGCAGCTGTCGGTGACACCGAGCAAAATCAACACGGGAGACAACTGCACGTGTTAACCATTTGTTTGCACCTACAGAGCTGCTCGTGCTGTGCTTTTTCTCAGGAGTGCGTTTTCATCTCCGTGCTGTGCAAGAGCAGAAAGCCGTACAGCGGCCCTTCACCTCCAAAAAGCCCCACGTGCATGTTGCTGCGTGCACACACATCGTCTGCAGAGCTCACCCAGATGCAGCGCTCGATCTCCTTGCAGACCCATCTGCAAAACGCTGCGGCAGTGCTGGCTGTGATGCTCGGGGGCTGCGGGGCTGTGCCACAGCCCGGCGTTATGGGATGGCTGCACTAAAGGAAGCTGCGGGCACGTGGGAACTGCTGGGCACGTTTGTGTTTGTGCAGCAGCTGCAGGCTGGGCCGGAGCTCACCTCCCTGCCCTGTGTCCCCAGGGAGGGTGATGGGCACAGAGCCACAGCGCTCAGGAAAAGCCTTTGTGCAGAGCTCGGCCATTGAATTCGTCCGTTGCAGAGAACCCCACACAACAACAAGAGTTATTGTTTGCTCAGACAGCAGCTCTGAGTCGTGGGGGTGCCTGGGTGTTGTGGTGGAGGTGTGGAGTTGGGCTGCAGGGCAGGGAAGCAGCAGGAGGCTGCTGGCAATGGGTGCACCCTCTGCATCCGCTGCTGTCTCTCTCACCCCACAGAACTGAGCCTCCGTGCCCTGCAGCATCCCATCCTCAAGGGCATGTCTCTGCTGCTGGGGTGTCAGTGTTCCCATAAAGTGCCCTTTGTGTTCCTGAATATGGGCTAACAAATCACCTCCAAAGGCAGCGGCCACCACCTCCCTGGGCAGCCCGTGCCCAGTGCATCACCAGCCTTTTGGAGAAGTTGTTCCTAACAACCGACCCGAACCTCCCCTGATGCAACATGAGGCCATCACCTCTCGTGCTATCACTGTTACCTGGGAGCAGAGGCTGAC